AATTATCATTCCAAGTTATAACGAAGGTGCAATTTCAGTTTACATTTTTCAAGATTAATACTCATAAAAAGTAATCGTTTTCTTAATGTAATTAAGAACCCCTTTCATTCATTTTCATTCATTTGTAAGAGGAATGTGATACATAATTTTACAACTTTGTCATTTTATTATGGACTCATAAAACGCTTCACATTTTTACAATCCTTTTACGTATTTGCCATAAAAATTTGTAAAAATGTTTAACTGTGAAACGAAACAAACTTTCATTCAATTAATCTTTATTTAGTATTTGCAATACTTGGTGTCTATCTCGATGGAACGGTTCCTTTTCTCATATTCTCCTCGTTTCGCTGTCTGTTTCCGAATGTCCACCTGTCTCTCCTTTTCCTGGTGTACTCGATGTCTACAGATGTGCGTGTTTAAACAGCTTGTCATGTGCAGACCTCGAACGCGAACGTGCACCGCATTTTCCATATCACGAGATCATAAAAAAGTACGGCAAGAAACCCGACGAATCCGTGAAAGCTCGGTTGGAAAGGCGGTATCTAATCCTGACACCAGAGGCGAGCAATATTCCTATCTAGATAGGGATTTCGAGCACACAATTGGAGATAAACGACCGTTCATCCGTTGCTTGTTGAGTAAAAATTAGAATTTGAATTACAGAGTGAAATTACGTTACAGACTATGTAAATATAGTATTAGATCATTTCCAATAGGATTATTTCAAGGCTTTATCACGTCCAGTAATTATAGTAAATGTTTCTATAGATTTCGAGAGAACAGTTTCAGGGTTGTCATTATTCTAGTCGAAATCAGATTCATGACAGCATTTGTACACAGATAACGTCCTTCGGGACACTATATCATTGTCTGAGATCGTGAACCGTCTTACGAGAATCCTCCTTGTTCCCGTTTCCACAAAGCCAATACTCACATGGTTCGCGAGGAGAACGTGCACAGATTGCATTGCACTAAATTCGAGGGTTACCACTACCGGGCATTTGAATTCTTTGAATAAAGCTTCAAGCAATTTCACAACAGGGCTGATTTTTAATTTCTAAAGAAATTTCTTTTCTCGCGACTGTTTATACAAGGGTGGATAACTTTTAAAATAGAAATGCATAATCCTATTAGGCAGACTGTATATCGCTAAGTGGGTCCTTTATAACGCAGAATTAGTTTTAACAAAATTGTGAAGAGGTTACTCTTTTAAATAATCGCAGAAAATCAATTTCCACATGATCTTAGAGGTATACACGAAATATAACGTTTTACCAAAATTGTGGAATCCTTATTCAAGATCATTAAAGATCATTCATGATACGAAATATATTCAATTTGTATATTTTAAACGAATGTACTTAAGTTTTTACCATGATTATCCTGACGCATATTTTGTTATAAAAAATCAAACTTCTGAAACCCTTGATGTAATATATCTATTTATTTTATTTCTTATATAACACTAGATTTATTATATTATTCATTAATTGATACGATTTACAGATAAATTATGCACAAATATTTGTCGTGAAATGAGCGAATGCATATTTTATTACTCGATGATAAACCGAAGGAAATCAACAAATAAATTACCTTCAATGTTTGTGGTAAAAATATCATCATGTAAAATACCGACGGAAACAATCGCAATTATTACTTCCCAATTCGACATAAAAATGTCAATTCACTGTCAATTAGTTCGGCTGGAAAAATAGAAAATCGTGGAAATTGGCGCGAAACTGGTGCAAATAAAAGCGGTGCCTCTTTAAAGAGGAAGTAGTAGAAGGGGCGCGGTAATATTATTCCAGGTAACTGGGTTTACGATTACATGCATTTCCACGAGTTTGTCGACTGCATCAAAAAATTTCTTTACGTGTTCGCGGGGATTTATGCCATCTTGTATTCGGCGCAATACGCTGTGCCGGGGAGCAATATTGCCTTCCTCCCGGGTCCCGTTGAGTAAATCTCTTCCCCAGCACCGAGCCACAGTTTTCCAGACATTTTTCACTTCTTCGCTTGTTTTTTCTGGTTCGACCTCGTTTTTTTTTGGTCGCCGGACTTCCATGATTACACGGTGGCATTATTATCGCCTGCGGCGGTGGGTTTTACTTTACGCCACCGTGCATCGTTTTTCGCCGAGAAACGCTGTGTCCGTCTTCCAAGTGTCGTAATTCGCACTGGTTGCGGTTTAACCATCTCGAACGTGAAATTTAAGCGCGGTTCTCGGTCGGGTTTCGCTAATTAAACTATTCAGTACGGGCGTCATACGTTTACGCTGAACGCCCGGTCTAAATTGTATGGCGCTCTCCGTGAATGGGTTAGCGAGCTTTCTTGGGGCAGTTTTGGACAGACTTTGAATGCCCGGTGTAACGTATGACGTGCTGAGAATTACGGCGATGCGAGTAAAGAGAAGTAAATGCGGAACTATGACATAATTTTATATTCCAAATATTGTGCGAAGTAAGAGTGTAGTTCAATATTTTATTCTTTTTTTATTTACAGTATTGTGATTTTCAGATCGCTATAAGTTGGGAAGAATCATTGCTTAGTTAGAACAAGCATACATGTGCGTGAGTGTCGTACATGGGGAATATGAATAATTTCAAAGTGTGTTTACATTACAATACACACAATGAAAGAGAAGAGAATCAACGATAATTGATCAACGATTGGCCTACTACATTTTCTTTATATTTTCAAATAATATTCAATAATGTATTGGAAAGTAGAATAACGCGTTCGTATCTGTTAATGTTTAGTCTCACCACTTTGTCAAGCGGTGGTACTAAATTGATTATAAACCTACGTATAAGTGGGACGAATATTAATCTCACGTACATGCAGAGTCCATGCCATAGATTCCGGTTCCTGCCGGTGTCCTCCTTATATTTACGACGTCGGTAAAATTGTCATTGGAAATTAATGTACGGTTCACTCGAAACAATAGTTGTAATAAATACCAAGCTGATATCGTTCGATACCTCATCAACGTTACGTGTAACAAAGCGTCGAAAAGAACAGAAAACTAGTACCAAATTCAAGTTCACAAATCGGTAATAGCCAATTGTAGTAACAGATCGAATCAATTGTAGATTACACTCAGCCCAGGCAATAAGGTCATTCCGCTTCGTTTCATACCGATTGCTCTTCCATTCGCTTCGATATTAACTGCTGAACCCATTTCTGTTTTTCTCTCCTCGTACAATTCACCTTTTCATATCGAAACCTTTTTTTTCCTTTTTCCCTTTGGCCCCTCTGTTCCATTCTCTTTCGCTCTGTCGTCGAATGTCCCTGTATTTTTGCGTCCGTCTTCCTCCCCTCCCTTCCCTTACTCGCGTGCTGGCTATTCAAATTCAACTTGTCGGGCTGGCACGTTTCATTCAGCCCCGCACGTTTGGGGCAACAGCATCGAAGCTAATTTAAGAAATCAATTAAAGTCGTCCTTGGCTAATGGCGATGAACAATGCGCATCGATACGTTGAATCGTTTTTCAGTTTTGAGGCGAAGCGAACGCATGGTCGATTTAATCGTTAGGACGTTTATTTCGTGCCACATCGATGAAGTGGCACTTGAAATAATTGCAGAAATATACATTCGTTAGAGTTGTATAAGGAATATTTTAATGCCGAGCACGAAGAAAATGTGTTAACAATTTTATAATACATTTTTCTTGTCACAGGCAACGCGTTGTATTATTAATCTTGTGTTTGATATTGCATTATTAGAATTTTAGGGGTTGAAAATGATAAAATAGAGACTGAAGATCTTTTAACATTTATTTGTTATTCGAAATTTATACAGGGATAAAAGTTTTCTCTGCGGGTAACCAACCCTCTATTCGTCTGTCTCTGTATTTGAAACACAAAACTTTAACCAGTAGACCGTATCCTCTTTGTTTTTGTAACACTCTCATACAAGTTTAGGTGTTCTTTGTTTCCAAACGTGCTGAGAATTTATATTTACTCATCGATTCGTGTGCTCTTATCTGTAAATTTCCTAGAATAGGTTTATCGTGTCGGAATTATATAATTTCATTTGACACATAAATACAGTCGCAGGTGTGTTCCAAGTCGTTACTTCTAGAACGTCCTTCTAATAAAATCAATATTTTTCTCTTTGAGAATATTACTTTTAAATATTTTGTGATTATGAAGCAGTGTGTTAGATTCGTGTGGTCGATTCTTAATTTCGTTAGATAATAAGTCATCGGATTACAACAAAATATTTAAAAATCGTTTTTAATTTATTAGGCACTTCGTAGGATCGTAAAGAATTTCTCAATGGAACGTATCGCTTGCGTAGGTATTTTAAAACTGATTCGTGTCTTATGAGGCTATTCGTACGAATTGATGTGAAGTATTCTTTCCTTAGAATCGCAGTCACGTAGCTAAACCATTTTGATGCTCGCTATATTCGATGGTCTGTGTATCGTGATCGCTCAAAGTATTATCTTGAGCATGTGTACGTGGTACCAGCATGACGGCTGTCCCGCTCATAATGCGTTACCTGCACGAACCGTTTTATAATAGATACCAATGTCTCCGAAACGATGAACAGGGACAAGAGGACACATTTATTAGCTGGCACGCTCTCCAGATCTACAAAAACGTCCTATAACCAGAGTCCTCCTTCCCCGCGTGTTGATGTACGATGTGTCAACTACTATCGAGAAAGATATACGATAGAGATAGGCAAATTTTTATTCGGATAATAGACGATAATAAAACCAACGTAGAGGAATTTATTGGTGACGTTTATTCGATTGAACTGTTTATCTTTCGTATGCTTATTGAATATTTCATTCTGTAATTGAAATAGTTCAATTTTTGTTTACTTTTATTAAAATATTTTAATCTATAATTTAAACTTTAATTTTTATTTCAAAGATAACGTATGAATAGTTGTTTATCTTTTATTAATTATTGTAAAACATATACAGTTATACAGTTCTTATATTATACAATGTTTATATCTTAGTATTTTATTATTTACAGATAGAGTCGGACATATTTGCTGGGAAGGAATATACATTGCTGTAAGTATACACTCATTTCTTCTATTTAATTATATTTTGCATTCAGTGTCTGAATCCAATCAAATTACATATAATAATATGGAACGAAGTAATGATAAATCACGATAATCAAGTGATATAAAATATAGAGTTATAATATAAACGTATTTGAGTTTGAATATTCATGGATCGAGCTAACGAATTTTTTCAAAGAAAAATTACAATCACAATTTCTGATTAAACCTGCCTTTAATATTTCAGGGAGATATTGAATTATCCATTAAATTCCGCTAACATTCCACCGTTATACTGTAATATCCCATTATTAAAATTTGATTGAAAGGAAAATCTACTCGATAAAATCGAAGACCTATCATTGATCAACCATATAATGCTTAATGGTATAGTTTACAGAGAAAGAGAATCTATGTTATAGTGCACTTTTCACTTGGACAGTAAGTTTGTCAAAGAATATAAATTGTGTACGACACGCATTATGAATTTACAATGAAAAATGATACATTGATTAATATATTTATATATAAATAGGATACTCGATAAATTTCCAATTCTGTTTTCCACTAAACACAAGGAAAAACATCGGACGTGTGTCGTTAGGGGTTTGCTGAAAACACCGTAACTGTATTAGCTCCATTTATCTGAAGTTTCCATTCGTAATTATCGCTCTCCTAATTGCAGGATCAATTAACGAATACTCGTGGCATAATGCAACGGCGCAACCGAAAATTGCGAATTTCATAACGGTCATTGATGGAGGAAATTGTCCAACTAAACTGAACCATACCGTGTGTCGCGGCACTCGTCTCAAAGCCGCGCAACGATCGATTTTCGAATTTGCGGTTTTTAGTTGAGTTAGACGGCACTGCATCGGAAACGATGCGATTTTCTGTGTCTATGCAAACTTTGGTATTCGCGGTCCATGGATATCGGACCGGCTGGAAATTTCGGAGAACGAGCCAGAAATTATTAATGGCCACCGTGTCACGTCGTACCTACGCTACTTCCGGATTACCAGTCGAACGTATTCTCACTTAATGAAGTCGATAGAAACGCGAATATTACTTGTTCAATTTTACACGTTATTGGAAAAGTGGATTTCACTGTTCCTTCGGATCGTCTCTGTTCCATTATTCAGATCTTTTTAGGGAGAATGCCTTTCTCTACTTACTTTGGAGATACTTTCAAATATTCGCAATCAGTGGCGCATTACACCACAGGCAAAAAGGTATTCGTCGGCTCGTCACGATAAGATTAATGTCTCGTAAACTTATCACTATTATTGGGTTATCCAACGAGTCCTTTTTACAAAGATTTTGCGCTTTGTTATTTAAATTGATATTTACAACAACAATTATTTAGAAATAAATAGATTCTCTCACCACCGATTAAAACTCCGCAGTGAAGAAATTAAATTTTTCTCCAACCTCGAATAAGATTTTTACTTTGTTTTTACTTTAATATAAATTCTTTTAATCATTCCCACAGATTTATTCGAAATATTCCCGAGCAATTGTTTCGTTTTCATTTGACTTCAAAGATTTAAAAGTGTGCCTTATCGAAAACGGAACGATTCCAGCGAAGCAAGTTTTAAAACGCCTCATGATTCAAGCAATTAAATAGTTCATCAGTTTTAGAGTATCTTGACGTCTGTATTCATCGCCTTGTTAAAATTTCAATACCTTTCACACACTAATGATGACTGAATGCGCAGTTTATTGCACAACGATCGAAACAGGATGTTGTTCGTATAAGAATAGCATGGCGCCATTAATTTCGAAACGTTTTCGTATACAGGGTGACCCGTATAAACTATTTCAAGCTGTTTTCTAAAAAAACTATGACAGCTATCGACTTAATTTTTCCTTCAGTTAAAAGGGAAGTCCATGTTCGAAACAACTTCCTGGATAATAATTTGTATTAACGTGTAGATCACCTTATAGATTTATTTTGTTCATTATATTTATTATTGGATTCCTTTCACAACCAAAAATGAAATGTTTATAAAACGTGTGACACGATTTTTCTTCGATTGCTTCTTAAAAACGTTAATTAAACATTTTAATTGCAGTATCGAATAAGTGGTAATGTAATGAAAAAGAATTGCATTAACAAAAAACATTTTTTGCATTTATTTTGTTCATTGTATGTACCATACAAATGCGATTATTTGAATCGTTCCACAATCAGAAACGTAACTGTTTACAGCGTAATGAGAGCTAGAAATCCGATTAGCTGCTTCTGTGCAGAGGCAGCAGCAGAAACTGGATTACCTAGTCCTTTCCTTCCTGTTAAAAATGAAGACGTAATAACAGTACCAAGTTGTATGTGCGTATAGCCTTGATACGCTAAATGCAACACAAATTTTGTATCTTTCGTGACTATCACAACGGCGATATACGCAGTTGCTGCAACGTGCTTTTAACAGCTTGTGCAAAATGTAACGTCCTCTTTCGCATAGAAACTATCCTCTTACGTACATTTTACTGTTTTTCTCGGAAAGGAATCCTATTCGAAGCTGGCGATCAAATTCTTGCAACATTGCATAAAGAACAGATAAAGGAAATTACCCAGAACTGTGATTCTTGTTCTTTTTGTTCAACGATCGGTCTAGTAAAGCTTGCAGGACTTGCTTTTAGAACGATGCTCTTAAATATTAATCGTTTCAATGTTCAGCAATGGGTACTCCGTTAAAATAATAAATTTTAATCAAATAAAAAGGTGAATTATTAGATTGTTTTAAGTAAATCTCTCGGATATTATAAAATGGTTATTAATTACCAGACAAGGATGTGAACAAATGCATTGATACAAGAAGTACATATATACTATAATATACTTTAATTCAACTTTCTGTTCTTTATCTGTGCATATAAAAATATGAATTTGCACACGCATACGCTATCTATTAATTATACTCATCTTTATATTCATACTTGCATATTTACCTGGCAAGTGCTTAAACAAAGACGGAATTTTAATACAAAGTTGGAATATAAAGTGCCTGATTCACGAAACCGGTCGTGTACTATTTCTAAGCTCTTTTGTTGCTCCCTTTAAGATTGTCTCGGAGGACTGGACGCGTAGGTGGAGACTGATAGAAAACCAATAAACATTTGGGACAGTTTCCTAAATCTTGCAACACTTACAAAGTCTGCTGCATGTAGCCAGCAGAGACATTGCGCAATGAATTCTTTGTCCTGGGGAACAGGGACATAAATCCTGCGTCCTATCGTCTGGTGTGACCTCGGGATGTGTCAATTCCTATAGAAAGATCCTCAATCCTTCTAAATATAAAAGTGTTAATGAAAAAAATGAAACAGTATAATAATATTTATAAAATAAAATAAAACGTTCTAAGTCAATAAATATAATCGTTTTAGTTTTGCTTTATATTTTATGATATTATTCTATAAATGTTACATTTATGAACTAGATGAATATCTTCTTATATCAGAAACACGGATTTATTTTAAATATCGATGTTTTCAAATAGGCCAGGCTTTGGAATGACCTACTTTTATTACAATTTTGAATTTTGCTTCGGTATTGTATGACATTATTGTGAAATTTTTTATTTTAAGAGGCTGCAGAATGTATCGAGCTTTGAAACTGCAAATGTAGTATCTATTGTTCCTAAGAAAGGGTGAATAGGGTATCCTCCAAAGTGGTATAATGTACGAATGAGAAGATGAGACCGCAGGGGCTTAGAACACTGCCTAAATTGTGCATATCTCTGCTACCCCTCGGGTCTCATCTTCTCATCGGAGTACGTTAGTATGAATGTAAATTCTGGAACTTGCAATGGATTATTCCATAACAATTATAGTAATATTTCTGTTAAGAATTGCGTAGACGAATCGTAAACACAATTTAATATTCCTCAAGTTTAATTTTTCTTTGCAAATGAACTTAAATTTTTTAAGCTAACTATGTTACGTACGTTTTCATGTATAATAGATTAATTTATATAAGTAAAACCTTCGTTACATGAAAATTAGAATTAATATATCTTATCACTTCCAAATGAAACTGATCGTTTTTCAAATATTTTCTTAAATTTTGTAAATTAGTCCAAGTTTTTGTTATATTATCAATAGAAATTCTTATCCTCATGTTTCATATTTGCTTACTTTCGTATTGATTTTGATTTTGATGGTATTCTTAGCAGTTTTCAATTCTTAACTTTCAACATTACATTTTCAGCTTGAAGTGTTCCATGAAAATTTCAGAAGCGTAATTTCCTTGAACGCTTGCATTATACATTGGATCTCTCCATCATTAATCATAAAAATTTATGCAAATTCACGTTTGACGCGGTTTCTAAAGTTACGTCTGCGAAGATCTTTAAAAGTAACGTCTAATTTGTTCCAAATTGACGCGCGCTTTGCGGTGATTGATGCGCAAAAGGGGAAAATTGTAGAAAATGAGTTTCCCGTGATACGTTTTCCGACAGCTGTCTTCGAGCCGTCTGTCATCGGCTTATATTTCCCAAACGTTCCAATAAATTTCTGTTGTCAGGAAATTTCATCGAAAGGGACGATTTTTCTTCGTCGCGCGAGTAGCCAATTGAAAGAAGAAAGCTCACAATAAGGCAGAAGAATTGATTCATAAAGTTATTTTCTGCTTGAGAACATTTTAATCAATTTCGTTTTTTTTTTCCCTAAGAAACATTGTAAAAAGAAATGCACACCCTTCCGTAGAGCGGATAATTCAATTTTTATCTGAATCGTTTCGAACCGAAACATGGCAATCTATATCAGAGGGTAATATTGCGAAAAATCCCACTTTGACACGGAAACAAAAGAACTATTATCCCTATTTTTATCACGTATCGCTATCGAGGTCGTCGAAAGTTTTCGCCAATAGGATTGCCAATTTTTATCACGTATCGCTATCGAGTTCGTTGGAAGTTTTCATGAATAGATCTGTCCAGAGAAGACGGAAGAGTAACGCCATGGTGTTTTATATTTATTGATAATCTCGAGGGTATGGTTTTATAT